GCTTTTTCATCCGCCAGCCCTGTCCCCGGGCCTCCCAGCCTCCAACGCCCACAGCTGGGGAAAGTTCCTCTCAAAGAGGTCTCCCCTCCTTGGCAACTGGAAAAGGTGTGCTGTCCAGGCGCTGCGGGTTGCAGGGATGGGGACATTCTCGGGCTGACCCCAAGGGCAGAGGAAATGTCTTTCGTGCCAGCGAGAAACTGCCAAGGACGCAGAAACCTATTCTCACACCCCTGCTTTTTATTTTTTCTCCCAGACGACGGGAGAGGAGTTCTTCTTCCTGGAACCGGAAGTTGAGCTTTTTTCCGACGGGCGACGGCAATGGGACTTACCTGCCCTACCTGCATCCAATCATTTGTGCTTCAGGCCGAAGAATCCTGAGACGCTGCATCATTCCCAAGTTTAGAAAAGTCACACACGGCCCCCAAAGTGCGCATTTTGTTTAAAAATGTAAGAAAAGAACAAAGAAGATAATAAACGACAACAAATAGTGCCTCCCTTTAATTACTGTCACACTGGACTGTGTCCGGGCCTGTCACCCTGAGGACCTCCCGGGACACGGTTCTGAGTAAGTTGTGTTCTGCTTGGTAGTCAGGCCTCCGGGGTCCTGGGTGTGTCTCACGGGGTGACAGGGTGCGGGTTCCTGGGGAGGGAAGCCAGTGGGCCTGCTGATGTCTCCTGTTTCTGTGGGGTTTTTAGGAACACCTACCGCAGCCTTCAGTAGCCCGATGCTCCCAGCAATGGGCACGGACACTCTGTGGCAGGTGACCCTCTCCAAGCTGGGTTCCACAATCGTTAAAAGTAGCGGAAACCTTTTCAATTTGACGTACAAAAATGGTGAAAAGGGGGCCTAACACGGGCAGGTGGGTCTTCTTAATAATGAGCCAGAACCACAGGGACACAGACCACCGTTCAGGAGGCAGCGTGGAGGGACAGACCGGAATTAATTTAAAAAACCCAAGAACTGCGGGCAAAGGGGGCTTGTGATGGCAAAGGGGTTGAGACGGGGAAGGTTGTCGGTACGGGAGCTGTGACTTGTGAGGTCAAATCAGCCTCGCGGTGGTGCAGAAGTCCTCTGGACCGAGGCATTTAGACACAAAAAAAGTCCCATGTAAAAGAAAAAGCAAGTGTTTACACAAGAATCCTACTGACAATGATAATCTGCATCTCCTGTCTAAAAAAACACAACAAGGTGGTGGAAGGGGGGAGGGCGGGGTAGGTAGTTGAGGATTCTCATGCCTGGACCTGGCCTGTTCTTCCTTGCTCCACTTTTAATGCGTCTGGCTAAAGCTTGGAGAGAGTAGGTGTCTGCCGAAGTTCTTTGCTTTCTCCCGGGGTATTTTTGATGACATGGGAGGGATTATTTGACACGGGTGAGACTCTGACTCACTGACCGCTTTTGGTCAGCAGCTATACACTCGCTGAGCTATTCCCAGGGAGGCAACTGGTGCTGAGACTTTCTCAGTAGCATCACTTGATGTTTGGGGCAGAGGCTGGTCTCGGAGAAGCAGCTAGCAACACAAGTCCTCATGGTTAGAACGGCACACGGGTTTGGCACTCCCCTTTAATGAAAAAGTGGATTCCTGAGCACAGGAAGCCCGCGTTGGGAGTTGCAGGAGAGCCCTGGACGCCGCTCTGCAAGGTGAAGACTAGCCGGTAGTGTCGTTCCCCTGGATCAGCAAGGGCCACTGAGTTTTTGAACGAGTGGTCAGGAGGCGGGCTGGGGCTTAACCAGTCCCAAAGCCGCCAGCCACTTCTCCTCGATTCATAGCTCTGGAAGGCACGCCTGGCTCACAAAAAATAAGAAGGTGGGTTATTTTAAAGTGGCCAGGACGGAGGACACATTGAAGGAGACACCGCCTCACCAGGCCATGAGCAGCCAGCCTCTGGCATCTGCAGCAAAATATAATTTGTGGGGTGCCTGGGTGGCTCAGTCGGTTATTGCTGGCCCCATTTCAACTCGGCTTCCAATCTCGCGGTTCAGAGTTCAAAACCCGTGTTGGGCTTTTTAGGCGACAGCTCGGAGCCTGAGCCTGCTTCGGATTCTGTCTCCCCTTCGCCCCCCTCCCCCGTCATGCTCTTTGTTCTTTCTTTCCAAAAGTAAACATTAAAAATGAAAAAGATAAAATATAACCGGTGGTTTCATTGTTTCCTTCCCTGCCAGGTAAATAAGAATATTATGTCAAAAAATACTGCATGGAACAAGGAGGAAATACAGAGCAGATTAGCTGACCAGGAGGCCCCAGGAGAAAGCGCTGCGGGCTCTACAGACGCTACTTGGGTACTTCTGCTTTTGCTAATGAATGAGAAGTGCGCTTGTCCCCATTTTCATGTTCTTTTCTTTAACACGCGGCATTAAATGTGAACAGTGTCAAGAAACTTATTCAAGAGTAGAGGACAGATTTTTTTTTTTTTTTTTTTTTATCAACCGTCATTGACCACTGGCGTTTATGCCGTTGACTTCCCCAAGCATACGGTCATAGAACGAAATTTTCTCTCACACTAATTTTTTGAAACACTTTTTATTATTCTTGATAGAACACTCTGACCGGTTTCTTTGAACTGGCATAGCCATACCTCATCTTTATTGCACTTGCAGGATTACTGGTTCTGCTTTACAGATTTAAGGTTTGGCGGTGGGTCACCACACGGTACAAGTCTATCGGCACTGCTAAGAAATTCCATCAGCACTTGCTCACTTCGCGGTCCCTCAGGAAGCTGCATTTTT